GAATCCAAATTCATCCTGCTACATTTAAGCAACTATCACTTACTAATTGTTGACATGTTCTATTGTTCCTTATTAATAGCAATAACTACTTATATTTCCATCCCTTACACATTAAGAGATATCTGCTAACTATTAGTTGGGCATCACATTTATCATAACTAATTAAATATTTATGATATAAATTGATACTTTCCTACTTAATGTGGGTTTGCTGATTCTGTCTGGATTTAGAAGCCAAATGCCTTGTTAGCGTACTAGGAGAAAGGATCCTATTAGAATAGTAGCTCTTTATCATTCATAAATTCCAGAATTCCTCAAGGACCAACTTGAATGTTACCTGAGGTTACTAATTACTTTTTGATCATGCATACACTTGTGTACATTTGCATATGGTAGGGTTCCAGGCCATGATTGCTGTACTGTTCCATTGTGACAGGAAGAGAGTTTCAGTGAGAGAAAGTCAAGGCTTTTATGAATGATGGTAAACAGGACAACTAGTGAAGCATCCCCAGGAAGCATTGTATGTGAAACAAGAAAAATGAATGTTACTGAGCATTGCTCCTGACTTGGTAGTTGTAGGTTGATGGATTGTTGTGCTGTAGAAAGCTAGATTAAATAGTAGGAGGTTTCAGTATATAGAATGTTATAGTTTTGATATATAAATTTAGCAAGTCTTTATTCCATATTCTGAAAATAGAATGGACAGGGCTAAATTAGGGCTTATTTCCTAGTCATTTGTTCATTCATTCATTTATAAAATGTTTGTTGAACACCTACTGGAAGTAGTCTATGCATTCTGGTCAGTGTCGTAACCAGTAATTCACTCAGGAAATGAAGGTCAGTCTTCGTGTTCACAGGTTTCTAAGGTATAATCATAAGGCATGAAAAAATAGCCAGTGTTGAGGAAAAAGGAGTTTTTTAATTTGAAAAACAAAACAATGTCAACAAAAATGAGAGTATTTCCTAAACATGACTTACTACTCTGGATGACTCATTTCTTTCATGTTTGATCTGCCATTTCTCAAACTCTTAGAGGCCAATGCTGATATGCAAGTCTGCATTACAAATATTTAAATTTTTTTGTCCTTATGATTTTGGTGCTGGAAGGGATAATGGTTGGTTTGCTGAGCTTTTGTCTAGCCAGTAAGCACTATAGCTCTGAAGCAGAACTGTTAGAAGAAAGCTTTTACTCTTTTCCCCTCCTCAATTTTAGTTTGTATGTGCAGTCTTTATAAGTGCAGAAATCTCTTTTTGGTTATGAGGAAAAGGTGATTGTTCTTAAATGACAAACTACATTTATTCTTTGAAGTTTGCTGTACTGTCTTTGATTGTTGACTTTAAATCAGGGTGTCTCAACAGTGGCCCAAAAGACATTTAGGGCTGGATGATTCTTTGTTGTGGGGGCTTGTCCTGTGCTTTGTAGGATTTAGCAGCATCCCTGGCCTCTGCTCATTAGCCATGAGTAGCTTACCCCCTTCCACCACCAGTAGTGACAACCACAAATGTCCATAGATACTGTTTTAAATGTTTCTTGGTGGGCAGAATCACTCAGAGTTGAGAATCCCTGCTGTAAATTGTGAAAGCAGACTTATTAACCACAGTTGTTTGTGAGCTAACCAGAAATAAGCTGCTGCAATTCATGATGTTGTGTTTCTCTGATTATAATTCTTAAATAATTCTTAAATTATTTCTTTTATTCTGATGGCTATTGCATCAGTTCCCTTATCCTGAAAATCTTGCTTCCATTCAGCCCAGAGGAGTTGTGCCAGGATGAGTAGAGGTAGTATGTGTACTGTATTTCTGGAATCCACAATAGTTGTTGTTGTTGTTGTTGTTTTAAGATTTATTTGAGAGAGAGTGCACCAGCGCAGGGAGAGGCAGAGGGAGAGGGAGAAGCAGGCTCCCTGTTGATTAGGGAGCTGGACGCGGGGCTCGATCCCAGGACTCTGGGATCATGACCTGAGCCAAAGACAGACGCTTAACCATCTGAGCCACCCAGGTGCCCCCATAGTAGTTGTTCTTAATGGACTTTAATAACCTTGCTAAAAAAAAATGGATGTGAAATCTATGCTAAAACACATTTGGTATTAGATTTTCAGTTCTCAGTCTTCCAATGAACAAGCAGGTCCTCTTGATTTGATTTACTTTGTAAATTGGATAAAAATTTTGGATATGCCATAGGCATCAGATCACGACTATTTTAGTTTTTGTTGTTGCTTCTTGTGTTTTTTTTTTTTTTTTAAAGATTTTTATTTATTTATTTGACAGAGAAAGAGATAGCGAGAGCAGGAACACAAGCAGGGGGAGTGGGAGAGGGAGAAGCAGACTTCCTGCCGAGCAGGGAGCCCGATGTGGGACTCGATCCCAGGACCCTGGGATCATGGCCTGAGCCGAAGGCAGACACTTAACGACTGAGCCACCCAGGCGCCTGTTGCTTCTTGTTTTTAAAGTGAGTTAGGTTGTTTATAAGATTATCAAGTTTGGCTGATAAACAAGTTCCATTTCTGCACACAACATGGTGCTTGCTATATTCATTTAGCAGAGAGGTTGCTTCCTTACCTTTGCACAAGTAAGTGGTAGAGTTGGAATTTAAACTCAGGCTTTTCTGATTGGCTCCAAAGCCTTGCTTTTTCCTCTACCAACCCTCTCAAAATAGGAATCACTGGGGGATTTTGCAGGTTCTGACTTGGTAGGTTTGGGGTAGGCCTGGATTTCTAAGAGAGTCCTAGGGAGGACAGAGAGGCCCCTGTTGCTGGTCTTTGGCTCACACTTTGAGTACTAAAGCTCTGTGGTATGTTCCTGGATTACTAATTTTGCTGTAGATAATCCTCCTGGTGTCTAACCTGCAAAACTGATGATCTACAATTGAATATTCAAGAAATGGATTTTTCAGTTATTTCTTCTTCATTTTAAGCTATGTGTATTCATTGCTAGAGTTGAGGGGGGAGCTTTGTTCACCTGAACTGGCAGAATTGCAGTTCTATATTAAGTGAATGCTGGCATCTTAGGAAAGTAAAATGAAGGACCAAGGGTAGTTTGTTGGGTGTGGTTGAGCAAACAGATGCCATAGTCCATTGATTGTAAGGTGGGCATTATTAACATTTTAACATCCCTAAAATTGGGTGCATCTTAAGATAGATGGCATTTTATGGTTGCTGAGGTTGGCATTTGGCTTCTACTTCCGGCCACTTTCCTGCTCCTTGGGGATGGAGCCCAGCAGCTTCTATGGTGAGTACTTGATCATCTCCCCCTCCTTGCTCTTTTCCCCGACCCAGACCTCAGTGCTTTGTTCTGTAACTGCTGAATCTGAGCTTGGGAGACAAGGCTTTAAGCCCAGGGATTTTTTTTATACTGGCCAAACATGCTTCAGGGCAAGGTGGATTTCTGTGTCTATCACTTGGCTCTGACATCTGTTCTCTGTAGTAGCAAATCTATTAGAGATCCTTTCTTCTCTTGCCTTGCGAGGAACTCCTCTGGGGCTAAGGCAGTCTTAAGAAGCTCTTTAATAAAGTAAGCATTCTAAGTGATAAACTATTTCACGTGCTTTCTTATTTGGCAGCATTTTTCTTTCTTGATGGTACACAATAATGCATTTTCCATAGGGCTTTGGTTTGATGAGAGCTCTAAATTTAATGTAAGTTTAGCAGAAGAAGACTGCTTTGGAGTTAGAGCCTCAGCTCTGCCACTTGTCGTCTGTGTACAGGGGAGAGTTGGACCTTATGACCTCCAAGGCCCTTTTAGCTCTGAACTAATTGGATTCTAAGTGTCTTAGAATGATTTGATCTAACACAGAAATGATTAATTTTGAAGACGGAGGAAGTGACAGGAGGCGTGAGAGCTGGGTCTCTAGGGAGAGAATAATTTTGGTAGAAGAATAGGAGAAAAAGTGTTTTAAGCTGAAAGAGACCATATTTGTGAGATCATAGGAGTACCTTTGAAAACATTCATAAACTTTTAGGCTGTGCATGTAATTCCATTCATCAAGCTAGGTAGAGCTTATTCTCAGTACAAGTAAAAGTTTCTGTTGAAAGTAAGGTGACCCTTCCAGTCTTTCTAAAAAGATGATTCTTCAGGAAGTTCTCTTTGTTTTTGTTTTTTTGAGAATAAAATGATAGTTCCTCATTAGTTGGATAAATTAGATATAGATACCATAAAAATAAAATGAGCTATTAAAGTATTGAGTATGGTCATCCTCATTTGAGTATTGGGCAAGGTGATTAACAAAGCTACTACCTATGTTGTAGTAAACTGTACTTATCTAAGGTGAAGTCTAAATAAAAAAATTTTTTTTTTATAATATAGTTCTGTTTGGGCACTAATCTTTGTTTTATGAAGAAAATACTGCTTTGCATATATGGGTCACTTTGGATAGAGATTTCTTTGAATAGGGATTTGCTGTGGACACAGCAGTTAATTTTTCTGAATTAGGTACCCCTTGCAAGAAAAAGTTTTTGTATGTGTAGTCAGTGCTACAGGTGGGAATTGCAAAGGTGAGGTAACCTCTCCTGGGTGGGCTCTCCTTTTTTTTTTTTTTTTTTTTTTTAAATCTTAAAATTAGGCATCAGAAATGACACAGACTCAGGGGATTTCTGAGTTGGGTTTAAAACACATAAATTTTAAAAATTTATGAGCAAGCCTGGGGATTTGAGCTGGGAATTATAATCTCAGTTCTACTCTGCCACCTTGTGTTCTCTTGGGAAAGTTATTTTTGATTTCCTGAGACTGTTTATCACTTATGTAAAATAATCCTCAGCTTTAGCTTGTTTCACAAAATTAGTTAGCAAATGACTAAAGCTTAAAATGTGAACTCCTTATACATTTGCTGAATTATAAGGCAGTTCCTATTCCTGAAAGGCATATGCTAGGTTTTATAAACCGTAGGCAACGGGGCAAGATTATTTAGTAAATTTAGCTACAGTCTCCTTTGACCTAAAGGCAGTTTTGGTTTTGCATTCTGTAATGCAGCATTGATCATTAGTGTTTTTACTTCCTCCTTACAGGTGGTCCGTACTGAGAAGAACAGTTTGAACAATCGATTCTTGCCCTGGAATGAAATTGAGACAGAGGCCATCCTGTCTATTGATGATGATGCTCACCTCCGCCACGATGAAATCATGTTTGGGTTTCGGTGAGCAGCTGACTTTCAAACAAGAAACACTTTTGTTTGCAAGTGACAGAAAACCAACTCAGACTTGGATTAGGCAGCAAAATGAATTTCTTGGCTGATAGTAACACAAATCCTCAGAGGTAGTAAGGGCTGAGTTAGGACATAGCTGGATTTTGGGTCTTAGGTGATGTCGGAGAACTCCATTTTCTCTTCATCTCGAGGTTTTGCTTTCCTTTTTGTTGCCTTCGATTTCGCAAAGGCTCTTCCTCTGAGGCCAGAGAGATGGATTCTGTGATTGGCTGGACCAGGGTTATCTGCCTGGCCCTGGAGCTGCAAGTACATCATCTTCGTACCACAAACCACAGGGACTGAGTGGAGGAAAGGGGTAGTTTCCTGAAGGAAATGTGAGGTTTTTGTGTTTACAGGAATGGGGAATAGCTCCCAGTCAGGCAGAAGCAACATGTTGCTATGTGTTGGGGCAATGGAACGGTGCCAGAGTCCTGGGGCTTGAAAGACTTAGGGAAAGCTGGGGTTGGATGCAAAGATCCAAGAGGAAAAAGAGGGGGAGGAGATGGAGGAGGTGGTTCTGAGGATGACAGTGCATGACATTTGTTGAACCCATACTGTGTGCCGGAGACTGGCTGAGCACTTTGTGTGGTTTATCTCAGTAATACTCCTAAAATTTGATGATGTAAGTTGTACTCATCTCCATTTTACATGGGACTAAATTGAGATCCAGGAGAACCAAACCATGACGCTAGAAAGTAAGTGGCAGAGCTGGAATTCAAGTGCAGGTTTGTCTGACTCCAGAACGTGGAGTCACCCACTACACTAACTATATTGTTTTTTGACTCTTAGTAGTTCTACTGGGGCTTAGATACCCCAGTTGAGGGAGCATTACAGGTAAGAGAATGGAGCAGATCAGGGTTATTCACAGTGTATTATGGACTGGTATGCAGGCCATGGGCAGTTTATCTGTCCACAGTGAGGTAAGTACAAAAATTGAGGGTAGGCCTTAGAGACTTTTGAAGCAATTTGACATTTACTGTGACATCCAAGTTTGTGATCGTTTTCTCACAATTCAGTTTTGGTAACATTTATTAAATACAATTCACATGTCATACAATTCAGTCATTTGAGTGTATCATTCAGTGGTTTTAAGTGTATTTACAGAGTTATGCAACCATCACCATGATCTTTTTAGAAATCTTCGTTACCGTCAAAAGAAATCCTGTGTACCCATAACTGGTCACTTCCCATTCCCTCCAACTGCTCTAAGCCCTAGGCAACCATTAATCTACCTGTGCCTCTATAAATTTGCTTTTTGTGGACATTGTCTATAAATGGTACCATATAATATGTGCTGTTTTGTAACGGTCCTCTCACTTAACCTAGTGTTTAAAATGTTCATCCATCTCATAGCATGTGTCGATACTTAATTCTGTATAGATATACACATGTTGTTCGTCCTTTTATCTGTTGATGGACATTTGGGTCATTTCCACTTCTTGGTTATTGAATAAGGCTGCTATGAAAATTCATGTACAAGCATTTGTATGCATTTGTATTTCCTTTCTCTTGGATATATATGTTGGAGTGGAATCACTGAATCATACAGTAACTCTAACATTTTGAGGAACTGCTATATTGTTTTCTACAGAGGTTGCACCATTTTATATTGCCATCAGCAGTATATAAGGGTTCTAATTTCTCCATGTCCTTGACAGTACTTGCTATTTTTGTTTTTTATTTATAGCCATCCTACTGTGTGTGAAATGCTATTTCAATGTTTTTTTGTTTTTTTTTTTTAAGATTTTATTTATTTATTTGACAGAGAGAGACATAGCGAGAGAGGGAACACAAGCAGGGGGAGTGGGAGAGGGAGAAGCAGGCTTCCCGCGGAGCAGGGAGCCCAATGCGGAGCTTGATCCCAGGACCCTGGGATGATGACCTCAGCCGAAGGCAGATGCTTAATGACTGAGCCATCCAGGCGCCCCTCAGTACGGTTTTGATTTGCATTTCCCTAATGACTAATGAAGTTGAGTATCTTTTCATGTGCCTAGGAACCATTTGTGTATCTTCTTTGAAGAAATGTCTTTTCAGATCCTTTGCCCATTGTTATTTAGATTGTCTTTTTATTACTGAGTTGTAAGACTTTCTTAACAATCATTGGGAATTTGTGGTTTAGCCTCTGGTATGGAACTGGAGAATTATTTCTGGCTGTACTACCTAACCTTTCATCACCCTGACTCTTCTCGTTTGTTTGGGCATCCTTTGATCTAAAAGCTTTTTCTTATCTCTCCAGTTTGCTTATTTCACCCTAATGGGAGTGGAACAGACCTAGGTTCAAAAGGAAAAGGCAGGTATAACAAGAACTACCTCCTCAGGCAAAAGATAATATGGGTTTGGCTAACTTCAACTTATGTAACAAAGAAAGAGGCAGATAAGTTCTTAATGGGCAGGTAAAACAAAGGGAACCCAAGAGAATTGAAATGTACGCCCATACAAAAGCAGTACATAAATGTTCATAGCAGCATTATTTATAATAGTCAACAAGTACAAGCAACACAGAAGGATAAATATCCTATGATTCATATGATTCTACTTACGGCAGATTCACAGCGACAGATAGTCGAATGGTGGTTGCCAGGGACTGGAGGAAGGCAGGAATGGGGACTTAAGTGTTGTTGTTGTTGTTATTTTTTTTTTAAGATTTTATTTATTGGAGAGAGAGAGAGAGAGCGTGCGCGCGCGCAAAGGAAGGGGAGGGGCAGAGAGAGAGAGGGAGAGGCAGATTCCCTGCTGAGCAGGAAGCCCGATGTGATTGGGGGCTCGATCCCACTGGGATCGTGACCTGAGCTGAACTCAGAGACTTAACCGACTGAGCCACCCAGGCACCCCAGGAGTTTAGTGTTTAATAGGCACAGAGTTTCAGGTTGGGAAGATGAAAAACTTCTGGAGTTGGATGGAGGTGATGGTTGTATGGTGTGAATATATTTAATGCCATTGAGCTGTGCACGTAAACATGATTAAAATGGTAAATTTATGTTACATGTATTTTGCCACACAAAAATCAGTTGTTAAAAAATAACAAAAGAAGTGTGAATAACCCAAACATCCATCAACTAATGAATGGATTTTTAAAAAAGGTGATATATCCATACAATGGAATACTATTTTTTTTTTTTTTTTATTTGAGACAGAGAGAATGAGAGAGAGAGAGCACATGAGAGGGGGGAGGGTCAGAGGCAGAAGCAGGCTCCCTGCCGAGCAGGGAGCCCGATGCGGGACTCGATCCAGGGACTCCAGGATCATGACCTGAGCCAAAGGCAGTCGCTTAACCAACTGAGCCACCCAGTCGCCCCCAATGGAATACTATTTAGCAATAAAAAGGAGTGAAGTACTGATATGAGTTACTGTATGAGGGAATCTTGAAAACATTAGTTTAATATGGACTTTAATGTACTAAATGTACATTAAATGTAATACTTTACATTAAATGTAAATGTACTTTAATATACTCTAATATCTTAAATATTTACTGATCTTTATTCAAAATTGTTTTGCCTAAGTTTCGAAGATCATAAAATCAGCTTTCACTTAAAAATTAACAGTAATGGGGCTCATGGGTGGCTAAGTTAGTTAAGCGTCCAACTCTTGATTTCAGCTTAGGTCATGATCCCAGGGTGATGGGATAGAGCCCTGCATCAGGCTCTGTGCTCAGCTGGGAGTCTGCTTGTCCCTCTCCCTCTGCTCCTCCCCCTCTCCTTCCCCCCTCCACTTGCACGAACTCTCCCTCTCTCTCTCTCTCTCTCTCTCAAATAAATAAATCTTTTAAAAAAAAATTAACTCGGGCTCCCTGCTCAGTGGGGAGTCTGCTTCTCCCTCTGCCCCTCACTCCCTGCTCAGTGGGGAATCTGCTTCTCCTTTTGCCCCTCACCCAACTCGTGCTCGTTCTCTCTCTCTCTCTCAACTAAATAAATAAAATCTTAAAAAAAAATGAACAGTAACATCTTTTGCTTCATTCAGGTAACTCATTAAAAATTGTTTTGATCTTGCATACTTAAAAATATGTCTTTATTTAAAATATGTAGTATTTGAACTGTTAACAGTTTTTTGTTTTTATTGAACTGACTGTACTAATATGGAAATGATGTGTGGTAAATGATGTGCCGAAGTTCATACCACAAAAAGGTTGAATTGATGCACTTATTTCCAAGATGATAGTATTTAAGTTTGAAATGTAAATAGAAGAATATTACTCATGATTCAAATTCTTCAGTGGAATTCTATCTTGATTTCATTATTTCTAAAATTTTCCTTAGTTTTTTGAAGTTTCATTTATCTAGCGAATTTTTTATTTTGAAGTTTGAGCTATAAAATTACCTTTGAAACTTTTTTCCTGTTATAGTGTGTTGGGGGGCCCCTGGTTGGTGCAGTTGGCTGAGCATCGGACTCTTGATTTCTCCTCAGGTCATGATCTCAGGGTTGTGGGATTGAGCCCTAGGTTAGTTCTGAGCCAGGAGTCTGCTGGAGTTTCTCTCTCCCTGTCCCTCAGCCCCTCCCTGTGCTGTCTCTCTAAAGTGAATAAATAAATCTTTAAAAAAAAATACAGTGTGTTGGTAATTAAAATATTAACACATTTAAAGAACAATTCATTAAAGGTAAAGTATACCAAAGCCTGACCTATAATACAGCACATATGTTAAAAACATTTAGTGCAGTGCAAGTTTGAGTATAATATTAAGGAACTGATTATGGGCAACATTTTTATATAAATTGGTAGCATTATTTATATTTGATATTTTATTTATTTATTTTAAAGGTTTATTTATTTTAGAGCCCAGGCACAGGAGCAGGGGAGGGACAGAGGGAGAGGAAGAGAAGCAGACTCCTGCTGAGGGTGGAGCTGGATTCACCTAGATCTCACAACCCTGAGATCATGACCTGAGCCAAAATCAAGAGTCAGACCCTTAACCAACTGAGCCACTAAGGTGTCCCTATATTCAGTCTTTTAAAAT